CCACAGCTAAAAGCAAATGTTATTATGATTTTTTTAAAGGGAACAAAAATACTTATTCTTTGGACTATGATTCCCAGAATTTCACAACCAATGCAGTATTCTATGGCACTGGAAGAAATGCTGAAGCAAATAACATTAAAATGTGTTGTTTAGAGCAGGGATGTATTTTGGGGCATATCAATTATTGAAAGTGGGTTTTGTGTCAGAATGTTGATTTTGTGCAAATTCAATGCTTTTTTGCACAAAATGCAGATTTTTTTGGTTAGCTGTTGGGGACAGAAAAGTGCAATTGTTTTTACTAACACTGGAGCAAAAGATCTTCTGTCAGTTGACTTTTTTGATAGGGTGTCTCAGTTTGTCAAGATAGCCTTTTTCACTGAGAAAAAGAAAAATTGTGAGCATTGAGTATCTTGTTAGTTTATATTCTACATGGCTGTATTTCAATTACTGTGTTTCTTCGAAAATAAGACAGGGTCTTATATTAATTTTTGCTCCAAAAATGCATTAGGGCTTATTTTCAGGGGATGTTTTATTTTACAGTCAAATCTTCTTGTTGCTGCACAATGCTGCACAATGGTGGAGGATAGTGTTTCACTTAAGTGGGGCTTATTTTGGGGGTAGGGCTTATATTACGAGTATCCTGAAAAATCATACTAGGGCTTATTTTCAGGTGAGGTCTTATTTTGGGGAAACAGGATAGCATTTAAACTCCTGACTTTTGCAAGGGCTTCAGAAAAGTTGGTCTGTTCTGGGTCTCAGAACTGAACCACGATAATAACCACATGGCTGATCCAGCCTATAAAACTGAAACAATTGATTATTAAAAATCCATTGGCTCACCTTCCCCTGAACCCTTTAATTATTATCCAATGTAAACAGGATTCATTTTTATATGCTGTTCTGACTTCAAGGAGTGGTTTCATTGCTCATCATGTTCACATACTTCCAGATTCATTGTTTAGGGAATTGGTTTCTATAGAATAGAGGAAGTGAAGTTGGATGCAGGATTACCTGCCTGGGCATGAGTATTTTCATGTGTCAGAGGGGTAACATTCAGCCTTGGCTTGATATCCTCAGCCTGATTTCCTAGCAATTAAGAGCGATTTCCAGTAGCTTCAAGGTCACTGCAGCAGTAGCATATTTTGACAGTGCATCTTGGGCTTGAGTCATTGAAGGTGAATTCCCTTGAATTGTGCAGACACCTTGGTGGTCCTGCCTCATTTGCAGCATACAGTCATGTGGTTGGCAGGGATTAATTTGCCAAGTTGGGAGGCTGTGTGGTGTGAACCAGTGCAAAGAGGAGTGTGATGGTTAGATTCCACTATCATCTTTTGATGTCCAGCTATGTAAACTTTCTGCACTGTAATTACATGGCCATCAGCCTTCTCATGTCTGTACATTTTTTCTCTGCATGTATGAGAGATTTTTCTGTTGCCTTTGTCAACTTACATGGTGTCCTCTCATTAGCACCTCTTTCGTAGCAGACACTTAGATACACCAACCTCTTCCTTTCTGTGCACTTGGCACCTTGAATAAGATCAGTCCTGCCGTAACATTTACAGAGGGATTGCTACAGGAAGGCAAATGACATGGGAAGGTACAGGTGTGATACTTTACCGGTGCTATTTCAGTTTGATTCCGATTGTGTCAGCAAAACCCCTGTTATATAAGATCTGGATTTTAAAGAAACTGTGTGCAGCCTAGCCTCCCACAAAATGCTTTTCGATCCCTTTGGTTTCAATGGCACAGTTTTTAAGAATAACTCTTCTGCAGAAACCACAATTTAAAAGATCCCCCACCTTTGGCTTGATTGATTCCAATAATGCTTTTTAATTGCCTTTTGTTTTTTTTTTTGTTTTTTTTTACGAGAAGGTGATCTTGTGAAGAAGTGCACACTGCCTGCTAGCTTTCAGTACAAGCTGAAATGAAAGGCCATTTTAGAGTGTGTGTTTTTCTTTCCATCAAATTCAGTAGACAGAATGGAGTTGCTGCCTTTTTTTCAGTTGGCATTGAGTCTATATCCACTTTATATCCTTCATTCGAATTAATCTGAGATCAAAACTGTATAGTGTGATCCCGAACATGTTCAGCTGCTAGATTTATTGTTTAAGATGTAGACATCTTAAACACATGAAGACTCATTAAACTCAATGAGATTTATTTCTAATTAAAGTAGTAGTGGGTTTTTGAAAAATATATAACACTGTGATCCAGAAAGAAATTTTAATTCATTCAGTGGAATGTGGAAATGAGCATAGTTGGGTTCAAAAGCAGTCCAGAATTAAGATTGTTTTTTTTTAATGTCTGTAAGGAATCCACACTGGCAGTGGCTGTCGTAATGCAGTGGGTTTGTATTTTATTTCTTCTTTTAACCACAATGAAACATCAGGATTAAGTCATACTACCAACATAATCCTTCCAACATAAGCCCCATTCCTGAAACAGAAAAACCGCTATGTAGGGATGCAGTCTGCAGCTCACAGAAGAGATAAAGCTCACCTCCATGTCAGATACAATCTCTATGAACCTAGATGAACACCACCGTAAAATAAAGCCTTTTGCTGGAAATAATGTTCATGGATGGGTGAACCTGATAAAACTTCTTGCAACTTCTTGCAAGGTGCTCAGACTGGCTAAAACAGAATACATACTTATCAGGAGCCAAAAGTTGTGTCGTGCATAAACATTAGTCGAAGCAGGCAAAGGCAGAGGTTCCCCTTGACAATTTTTGTCCAGTCGTGTCCGGCTCTAGGGGGTGGTGCTCATCCCCGTTTCCATGCCATAGAGCCAGCGTTTGTCCGAAGACAATCTTCCGTGGTCACATGACCAGTGCGACTTAGACATGGAATGCTGTTACCTTCCCACCGAGGTGGTCCCTATTAATCTCCTCGCATTTTTTTTGCATGCTTTCGAACCGCTAGGTTGGCGGGAGCTGGGACAAGTGACGGGAGCTCACTCCGTCACGTGGATTCGATCTTATGACTGCTTGGTCTTCTGACCCTACAGCACAGGCTTCTGCAGTTTAGCCCACAGCGCCACCACGTCCCTAGTCGAAGCAGGAGAGAGGAAATGGAGGGAGGATAGCAATGTCTTTCGTTTTTGTCTTTATTGGGCTGAATTGTCCCAGAATTTGCCAGGCCTGATAGATGGTGCTACACGCAACTACAGTATATTCCAATGACATCAGCAGTATAGATGGACACTCACAGGCCTCTCTCTCTCTCTCTCTCTTTTTGGTCCCCTTCAGAGGGAGTGGAGAGGAGCAGGCCTGGACCAGATCCTATAGGCAGCAAAGGGTTTCAGTGGCAATATGCATGTTCAGTGTAGTCAGAGCTAAGTTTGGTGTGAAAACTATCCAGTCCATGTTACAATGAAACGCTGACTACAACATGCATCAATGGATTGGGAAAAAAATAATGTGATGTCTCCGCACTTCACACACTAGCAAATCCAGCACCTTTAAAAAAATAAAACAAGTTACGTGAGCATCATAGGTGCCTACTGCGTTGAGTGCTTTGGTATGACTTAAAAGGAAGGATTAGGTAAGATGTCTCTTTTATAAAAGAGAAGTGGTGTGCAAGTTATTAAGGACCTTAGCAAGGCTATTTGCTTGAATAAGAGGGAATAGGGATGACTTTTCATTTACAGCTTGTTCCAGTCAGGAAGATGTATTTTAAGGTTAATAAAAGATAAAGACATGGAGACCCAGTGTGTTGCTGTGAACAGAGTTCTGGACAAAGACTGAGGAGATTCCCTGTTCATCCAAGGAAACCTATTCAGGGTTGGCTATACTAAACAATTCCTTGAATATCTCACATACTTCACAAACCTGATTAGGATTGCCATAATGTATTTATTTATTCATTTGATTTTTGTATAATCAAGTACATTAAATTAACTAATTGAACTAAATTATGAACATGTAAAACAAAATTAAAAGCAGCAGCAATGACATTAAAAGTTTAATAAGTTTGAAAAGGCTTGACAGCACATAACCAAGGTAAAAATGACTCGTCTTCAAGGCTGTAGTCTACCTCTGATTATAGATGCAACGTGGGACTCTCTCACCTGATGCAGAAAATCTATGTCTTGAACACCAGCCACTTCCCCACATCGCTTTGCTTCCCATCTAATCTGATAAAGGATGCATACTCATTTGTGACCTTAATAGAACTTTTAGGAACAAAACATAAAATGTCATGTTGAAGTCATGAGTAGAGATGGGCATGAATCGCCAGTTCAGTGATTCATGCCATCTCCTTTACTGGCCACACAAGTGTTTGGTGCTTCAAAGGCCCACCTCCTCTGGCAGCCGCCCACTCAGAGGCAGCCCTCAGAGCAGGTGAGGTAGGGAAGCCACGCCACTGCCTTCAAGTGGTTGACTGCTGGAGGAGGCAGGCCTTTGAAGCGCCAACAGCTGTTTGGCTGCTAAACGGATCGGCACAAACCACCCCATCTTTAGTCATGAGTAAGTCATGAGTAACTGAGCAGTGGTAGGATGATGCTTAGAGTCCTACAGCAATCTCCTGCCACTGTTCTTGTAATAGGTGTCTTCAATATGATCTCACCTCTGTTCTTAATAGTAACTTCACAAGGTCTGTCTTTGAGTTGGGCTCATAAAAATATTACATGATAAGGATTTAGAATTTTTCTTTACCAGCAGGGTTTCCTTCTTTTGAGGAGGATGACAGGCAAATACTACTATACTATTTTCCACCAGCATGACAACTGGTACATAGTATGCATTTATTGTATGTGATTAAGTTTGAGTCACTTTCCTGTGGGAGACATTTTGTTTGTGGGACACCCTTTCTTATTCTCTCAATGAAATGTATTGATCTGTTTTACAGACTTCACAATAAAACTTGAAAGTGGCAACAATAAATACCTCAAAATGTTCCCTTACGTGACATTCTCTCTCTCTCTCTCTGTCTCCCTGCTTCTTTCTTTTCTCTCTCTCTTCCTCTCATTTTTTTATGTTCTTCTGGCTCCTCCCACAGATTATAGACAGCGAGAATGAAGCATTGCTGGCGGCTCTCACCGAGACACTGGATGACATCCAGGAAGACGACATGGGTCTGGCCGCTTTCAGAAATATGGACGAGGGGGACATGCCCAACAGCGGCTGCACGTCACCCACCCCCTCTCCCAAACCTGCTGCCCCTGTCACGAGGGGGCCTTCCCTGGCCCCAGAGGTTGATGAGCTGTCTCTAGTAAGAACCTACTTCCTACTGTTTAAGGTGGATTTGGATGCGCCTCTGATTTGCCGGCTGCATGGGTATGATAGGAAGCAAAGGTCTGAATTTTTTCATTATAGGCTTAAAATTATAACAATACAAAAGCATATATCTGTTATTGTATACGTATACATGTGCCGCACCATTGTTTTCATTTGATCTGCTCCATTGCCATCCTCATGGGGGAAGGGTGTGACATTGGTGGGGGAGGGAGGGAGGGAAGGAGGAGGTTGAAAGTGGGCTAGTGTGTGAATGGCACAAAGGCATCCTGGGTCTATACTGGACCCACTCATGATGCTTGTTGTCTGAGGTTTTTCTTTCATTTCCAGTCTCTATCCCTGTAGAGCTTGGACAAGTTACTTTTGTGGGGGGTGGTCTACCAACTCCCGCAGCGTTCCACCCAAGTGGCATTATTGTATAGTATCTCCAAACACTGTCCCCCTTATGCTGTTGTAAAGATCCCCACTCACATACATGGAGAAAGGCTTAAGACTGACTGTCCCACAGCTGTGCAGAGTCCATTAGTTGCCCTGAGTATCAGGCTTCATTTATTTATATAAGTCCTTGAGGAGAGGAGACTGAGTGTATTTTGCATTATTGATCTGCTTACTAAAAATCATTATCAGATACTATGGTGTCCTAAGTCTAACAGAAGCTGGCAGATCAGAGGTTTTGTTTTGCTTTCTACCTGAGTAGAAGGACAAGTTGCACTCAAAAAAAGAAGAAGAAAATCTGGATTCCATGATAAATTAATGTGTAAATTAATCATACATGCATATGTTCGTTTACTTTGCACAGTTTTATAGTGTTTGAGCTGCTCTTGGAGTAGGGTAGGCGGCCATGTAGGACTTTTGGGAGACTGCTGGTGACCTCAGAGACTAGGGGTGGGGGGGGGAGAGAAACTAATGCAGATCAATGAGATTAGTGGGATTTACACCACAGTTGTTGACTTACTATCCAACATGTTACTTCAATTGTTCTGTTCTGGTTGGACTACCATCCAAATTTATGAGTCAGTCCACACTGTCCAATGATTAAGGCTGCAGAGCTTTATGCCCAGTTACATAGGTTATTCAGTGAGGTTTCCTTTTAGGTAGAAACATGTAGTAGAATCACTCTTCTAGTTCCAGAGGTTTATTTCATCAGGAACCTGCACACACTTCCAGTGCCTGGAATAGGTTTTATTCCCCCCCCCCCCCCCACCTTTCCTGGGAAACAAAAGATTTTTTAGGACAGCTAAATTCTGCACAAAGAACTGTATTCCGTTGTTTGTGTCCTGCCTGTGACTTGCAAATCTTGGAGATTTGCAGAGCTTAGAGAAGTTACTTTTCAAACTACATCAGCCACTGCTTATGCTGGCTGGGAGTTGTAGTCCAAAAAAAAAAAAGTAATTTTTCTAAGCCATGAACATGGTTGAGCACTAATCTTAGTGTGTAGATGTTTCTGGATTCTACTATACACTCTTAACCTGTAAAAGCAGGTGAAAAGTAAAGAGTACTATGAAGCTTGCCTTTAAAAAAAAGAAAAGAAAAAGAAATCCTCTCATAATAGAAGTCTCTAACCCTGTACTGAGTCTGGCTTCACCCAGTAAGTGCTGAAGAAGAGAGGTTATAGAGATGTTGACCTTCCATGACATGCTTCAACTTTCTGTTGCTAGGCTTTGTTTCATATTGCATTGTGAGATCTGATACAATGAAGCAATTCTTCTCATTTATAACTAGAGTGCTAGCAGGGGAACCTTTTCTTAAAAGACGGGTCTCCAACTATCATAACCATCTTCTCTCCACCTCTTCTTGATCCATCACGCCTATCATGATTTCAAAAAGTGTTATAGCGGCATCTAGTGGTGAAAAATATGCATTTTCACTTCACACAACAGTGTGCATGTCTATGTACTTAAATATTTATATATAAATATATATATCACAAATCTATATGTGTATATATAGGATGTATACGTTGCAGGGGAGAAGGAAATAATGTTTGGGGTTTTTAATGGGAAGTTTCACACACATGACATGAAACTGAAATTTCTCTATGTTGTCTTAGTGAAAGTAGCCATTTGACCGTGGGAACTAACTGATGTAATATCTGTCATATGCTTAATTGTTTAAAGAGCTTTTTGAGTTGCCGAGTCACCTTTGAAGATTTTTATGTAGTGCCAGATTCCCACAAGAATCAAATCTGGCATTTCTTTACTGATCCCATGTTGCCTTCAGTGCAAGAATGTGGAATGTCCAAAGCCTCTTTTTGAAAAAACTGA